AGTATAACATAATATAATATGATATAATGTAAAATGTAATGTAAAATAATATCATATAATTATCTGTATCATAGTTTCGCATTGGCAAGTCAGCGTCGGCTCCGGTATTCGGGCGGCGGGCCGGATTGGCACGGTGAGCATCGGCTTACGTCGTTAATGTTTGCGCGCCATCGAAATTTGGCGACGTGAACCATGTGTCCGAAGAGACTGTTCGCACTACAGACTTGAGGCACAGACCTTAATTGAAAGTTAAAGCTCAAGCCTATCGTGCATCAGGTCCGGTTCAGGGTTGTGCGCACGTGTTGTTGCCAGGCGGAGATCCAGTCAACAGCCCGTGCCTGAAAAGGGAGGCTGTGGATCGATCGGGGCTTTTGACAGCGATTTTATGACTGATCTTAGCACCGGCACTGCTATTGAGCGGAGTCTGTATGATCTATATAGTTCAGAATGTATGGAGGCCTACGTCGAAGCAGTTGCAGAGGGCTTCAGAGCCGGCGGTAGACGCTCGCTCCCGGCTCCAAGGAACTCGTCTGCAGAGCTGCGCAGGAGGACGGCCCGTAATGGCCAGGTTAGCCGGCAAGGGACTAAACCCAAAACCCCAAACCCAAAGCCCTGAACCATATGATTAAGCCCTAAACCCGCCCGAAACCCTACACCCTAAACAGTAAACCCTAAAACTTCACTTCGTGCGGTGCGCGGAGGAGGCGGCCGAGCTGCGAGTCCGACTAGCAGCCGCCCAGCAGAAGGCAGACACCTTGCAGGAGCTTTTGAAATCCCTAAACCCTCCCAAAAATCCTATACCCTAAACCCTGAACCCTTTTTGAGCTAAGACGTTAGCAGACAGAAAAAAGGCCCTCAAAAAAAAGACAACCCAAACCCTATAATCCATAAACCCTAAACCCCTATAAACCTGAAGCTCTTCTCTGTGTGTTCGCGAAACGGCTGGCTGCCACAGAGGAGCTCCAGTCCGACCTTGCGAAGCAACGCTCGGACTCGGAAGCCGAGAAGCTGCAGCTCAAGCAGCAGGCCTAAGAAAGTAACAGAGGAAGTCCCATGTAAACTGGGTTCCTTGTTTTGGGGATGTACTATGTAAGTTAAGTACCATAATATAGGAATCATAGGGATCTATAATAATATGGTTTCCTTCCTATGGTAACTCAAAATAAATCCCTTAACAGGAACCCAGTAAACGAGGAGCTCCTTGCACAACAGCAGTGAGGAGGGAGTGCTTGCATGGCCCCCTGGCCCCGGAGCAAATCAAAGCAAAGAGCTTGCATGGATTGATTGGGGAACGTCGCTGTCGTGTGTTGTTCAATCTTGCTGCTTCAGACCCCGACCAAACCAGGGACTAGTTAGCTGAACTCTGGAGAACAGACCTTGCAACCATATCTGTTTAGCTGCTGTTTAGCTGCCTTTCTTCCGGGGATGCAGTTCTTGTTTTCACGTCCTCTCGCAAGGCCCTTACACAGGGGTGAGCCAATCGGGCCCGGGGACTTGATACGCCCTCTATGCCCCGGGGAGCAGAACCGAAGAGCGAGAGAGAGAGAGAGATACGTCCATCTCTCTTCTGGCCGTTGCCGTAAAGATCCTTCGCTGGGAAGACTTGAGCTCGATCAGACATGAGGGGAGCGCTTTATGCTCGGGTCCAAGTAAGCCTCAAGGCTGGCGGAGATGAAGCAAGGGAAGGAAGGAAGGAAGGAAGGAAGGAAGAGAGAGACAGAGGGAGAGAGAGAGATACGCCCGCTCCCTCCTTCAACAGACGCGCCCTTGGGGTATGCGCCCTCCGGCCTGGTTAAGGCGAAGATAGGATTTATGGACAGAGAGTGCAGGCCGAGGAGCAAGGGCAGCGTCTCGCTCAGCTGGAGCGAGAGATGGATCGCTTCCGGGTTGAGGCGGGAGGTTCACCGGAGCCCACCCAAGCCTACAGCAGGCTGTAGTTTTGTTTTGTCCGTTTCGCTTTCGACACGGCTAACCAGGCCGATGTCCGCAAGGAGGAGACGCGGGCAGTGCTCTCTTGATCTCTTTTGCTGGAAGTAGCAGAGTGTAGAGAGCGACTTCGCACCTCGCGGATTGAGCGTTTTTGCTGTAAAGCTTCGAGGAAAAGCTGCGATTGGAGGCAGGGCGTCGCTGAGCTGGCCATCGTCAACTGCCGAAGTTTTCGGAGGCAGAGCGTGCCGCCGACACCACCGCAGCAGACCAGGAGCGCCGAGCCTGGCAGGAGCGCGAGGCGCCCCATGAAAAAAAGGGCTTCCTAAACCCCATAGTAAACCCTATAGAGCCGAAAGCCCGGCCACGTTCAGGCCGAGCTGCAGGCCACCATCGCGGCCCTGAGGTGCGAAGCGACAGAGTCACCATACCACACCATGCGTCCCCATGTCGCTACCGCTGCTTCGTAAGCTCTGAGGACGGAGTGCCCGGCCCAGCTTGGCGTGTCACTTAGTAACTAGTATCCTTGCAGACCTCCCATGTTCAAGGCAAGAGCTTGAGGAGAAGTCTCTGCAGGATCTCGGTCACAAGGCCTTGCCAAGTGTGATCTCTCAAGCGCAGCGCCCTGATCTCGAATCCGAGAAATCAAGACTTTCGCACCGGAGGACCAGGACTGCCGGAAAGAGATCATAGCTCTGGAACGCCGTGCGGAAGAACTCGAGGACAGCAGCAAACGTGACGCTCTAGCTGACTCTAGCTCGAAGTCTCGAAATCAGGTGAGCGTGGAAAAGGTACAACAAGACATGCAGCTCGTGCAAGACTGCTGCTTATTCGTTCTTGAGCTTGATGCTTCAACAAGTGTCGTGTAATCCCAGTCCCCGCTGAGGACCAGAAGGCCATGACTTCTTGCAGCCTCTGGTGAGTCTTGTGAGCGTGACTGCAGTGTGGCAGGCATACCTGGATCTTGACATCCAGAGCTTTCGGGATGCGCAGGACCAGTGTTCGGAGGCAGGCGATTCGCTGCGCATCGCTCTGCTTCCTCGCCAGGCGAACCTTCAGGCAGAGACGGTTAGCCAAGTCGATGAGCTCGAAGCAAAGTTGAAAGCCTCCAAGAAACATCAGAAGGACCTGGAGGCACGAAGTCCGCTATCTCCGCTACTTCACTGCCCTTCAGCCTGCATTTGCAGTCTAAATGCAGGAGATGCTGAACGAGGTGCGGCACTTGGTGCTGCCTCTCAGCAAGTGCATCGGGGTGCCGCAAACTGCTGTGTCTGCAGACGTATGCCTTTCTTGCCGCGGACAGCAAGCGACGATCTCGCAGACAGAGTAAGGCCTCGTGGCGGCGTCTCAGATGTAGGATGCACTGAGTGCACTGTCTGAAGCAACGCCGACCTCGTGACTCCTGCAGGTGTCGCGCTAAGAATGCTGCCGTTGCAGCCCCATTCGCAGATTTTAATTGGGGCCTCAAGCATTTTCTGCCGCAGGTCCCAGGCAGGCCTTATTTTACCGCTTGGCTGGCCTGCTGGCATGTAGTTAGAGTAGGACATGCTAGGACTAGTTTAGAAGTTTAGACCGATTTAGACCTGCCGAAATATGCGCAGGACTTCGATGGGCTACATCGGATCATCGTTTCAAAATGAAAAAATGTCGTGCCAAAAATCGGATTCCTGACCCAGACTGCCCGTGCTGTGAAGCCGTTCAGGGGTTCGCCTCCTGTCTTTGAGCCGTAGTTTGGCAGTTGCCCCATGTCGTTGCAGTGCTCTTCCCGGCCGGCCAAATGGCGCGCTGGCTGTCGGCGGAATTCGCAGTGTTCCCGAGCTGAAAATTTGAAGCCGTCCTAGGTCCCAACTGCCTTGAATATACTTTTCATTCACCCACAAGGTGGTACTTGGTCATCGCCTGGGCCTTCTTGGTGAAGCTGCCTCTGGCAGCTGCGGAGCTGGCTGCCATCTGTGCGGAGGACACCAGGCATTCAAAACACGTAGGTCCTTGACCACCTAACCCCTAAATACTAAACCCCAACAGTTTTGCTTCAGTCCGCCGGACCGCCAGGTGCAGCTTCTTTCTTCACAAGACTCGGCTTTGGCCGCAGCAGCTTTGCCGGCAATTTGCCGCCTCGTGTCAGTTCAGCAATTTTCGTCGGGAACACTCTGCCAGACTGGATCTGAAGGCAGCAGATTGACCTCTCAGACATTCAGTGGCAGGAGTCTTACTGGCTGTTGGAGCTTCGCCAGATATGGGACTTTCCCGCATGTCTGCTTGCAGGCGTGAGTTCCGCAAGGCAAAGGGCGCATAAGAAGTCCGCGGCTCTTGCAATTGGCTTGCTTTGCAGTCTCTGCCGTTGTTGACCTTGGCCGCCGGACTGCACGTGGCTGTTCGAGCTACATTCGGCAGAAGGAGGCGGCAAAGAGCTGTTGCAAGTCTGTATCCGTGACCAGCTCCTGCCCCAGGGTGTGGCCTTGCTTGATGCTCTCCTGCTTCTTTGTGCTGTACGTGTGTCTTGCCTGCAAAGCGCACATGGTTTTTCTGGTTTCTGACTCCAGATCGCTGAGGCATGGTGGTCACACGCTGGTGCTTGCAACTCTTGCCTGTGGATCCTTTGGCATCGCCAAAGCCTGCGGTGCCTGGCATTCTTGTCTTGTCGGGTCAGTGACTGGTCAGTGCTTGCAATTGCACAATGGCTAGAAGAACGTCAAAAGCCATGCATGTTCCAACCAGAAATCCCGTGGCTTCTGCTCGAAAAGTTTGGCCAGGTAGCCAAGACTTGTAGAAGCGAATTGTCAAGAGTGGACTCATTGTAGAGGCTGTGTACAGAGCCTCAAGCTCTGGATGCAGGGACCGTCGCGGCCATCACGGTCGATTCAAAGAGGGATGGGCTATCGGGGCTACGCAGATGTCACCGCTGTCACCACAGAAGAGATTCCGCTCGATGAGGACCTTCTTGGCAGCTTCTGCCGGCGAGGTCGAAGACGCCTAAGGGAACTTCAGGAGGCGACTCAGACCATCGTGCGACTTGATCGTGCCCGTGGCTGCCTTTCCGTGACCGGTACAGAGCCGGCTGCTCAGAGATTTTACTAAAAAGCGGGCGGAGGCAGGGCCGCAGAGTCGACGCGCGCCGCGCTCTTCCGAGGTCGTGCATCTCCGTGGTCAAGCGACACTTAGCAAGCCTGGGTGGCCCTCGGCGGGATGTCGGGGCGCCTGTGTGGGCAGAGCTGATGAGGACCTGCCAAGCAGTGCGTCCGCTGCCAAGGGACGGGGAGGGACTACAGGGCCTATGGGGAGGGTTTCTTTGCAGCCGTCGAGGACTCGCACGCTACAGCGAGACGATGCAGCCCTAGCACGGATCCAGGCGGAGAGTGGATGCAGAGTCCACATCGAGCGACAGCAACGGGAAGTGCGGCTGTTTGGGCCTGTAGACTCCGTGGCGCTCGCGGAGAGCCTTTTGAAGGAACTCGAAGAGGGATGCTGCAAAGACGTGGTCTTGGAATCCCTGGACACAGAGGCAGATCTGGAGACGCTGCAAGCTTCCCTCGAGCCTCTAGCGATGGACCACAATGTAACATTGTGCATTGAGAAGAGCCATGGTTTGAGGGTCTTTGGACTCAAGGCGGCTGTAAAGGCAGCAAGCAGCGAGCTGAAGGAACTGCTGGAGCCAGATGGGGGCGTCTTGGCTTTGGAGCATCGCCTCAAAGGCCGCACTCTCCGAAATAGCGAGTCAGAGCGCATTGGGGTGGTCTTGACCCAGATGCCGCCGGAAAGAGCGCCACAGACCCAGACTGGGGGCCCCCAGAATGCCTCCGGAACCTCCGGGGCCTCGAAGTCTCAAACGGCACCGAGAGCCAATCAGTCGGACCTCCACGGCTCCGTAAGCCTCGGCCACGTGGAGCAGTTCGTGGGCACCAGGCTGTTGGATCCCAAGCTACTGTATATAGTGACATTACATCGTGCTGCTAGGGGCCCGCTGTAGGGTATACCTTAACCCCGAATAACCTACCTGTTTAAGGACTTAGATTAAGGAATTCATATGAAGGAACCCCTAACAAGGGGTACAGGTTCTTCAGGGTCCAGGTCGGGCCTACCCAGAAGCTCCACAGAAGTTCCTTTATGCGTGGTTTATGTTTAGGATCCTATAAAGGTACTCCCCCAAAAGGAACTACTAAATGGAGCCTCGGGTTTTGGGGGTGGGCTGTGAAAAGAAGCGGCAGCTTTTCCCTTTTCCTCCGCTCTTCAGCTGCAGGCGGGGGGACCGCTGCCCGACCTGCGGCTGCGGCCGCTTCTGCGGTCTCTAGACACAAAACGTGTGTATATATATATATGTATAAATATATCTATATATATATATATGTATGTATATACATATATATATATATAAGCATACATAAGACACCCACCGACACACACTCTGACTCTCTCTCTTTCTCCCTCGCTCTCGCTTCTTTTCATCTTTTGTTTTTCTTGTGTTTACAGCTTGTGGTTTGGGTAACGAAGGAGAGGCCTTTTTGTTGCGGGGTGGAGTCCGGGATCCTCATGAGGCGTCTGTGGATCAGAGATCTGGCAGTTCCGCGTCCTGGCGCCGGCACCGGTCCAAGTTCAGAGGACAGGCCTCGGCAACCTCGGCTTCAAGAGCGACGACACGCCAGGGACTCCCGATCCCTACGAGAGTCATCCATACGAGTACGACATACAGCAAGGGCCAATGCCAGTGATGGAGGCTCAACCCATGATTCCCATGTACTCAGTAAGCCAGTGCGGAGCTGCACCTTATATGATGCTAGTGCCCATGTCTGCAAATGCGATGCAGAACTCCAACTGTCAGCAGCCTTTTATTTCCCAAGATGCTTCTGCAGAGTAGTTCCGCACTTTCTGTTTGAAGCCGATGGCAAGATGCCAGAAGCCCCTAAACCACCTGGCTCCGGGGCCGGTCTCTTGCAGTGAAACCCTGAGTCCTGCTGCACAGTGTTGCTTCCGATGCACTGGGCTTGGAAATGAGAGCCTGATCAACAGAAACAGGAGTCGGAGCTGCCTTGCGTTCAGGTTGCTCTCAGTTCCCCCCTGCTTGCGCAAGCGGGCACCTTCGACCCCCCAACAAGCGACCGAATCAAGGTTGGCTAACAAGATCTTGATGTGTCTAACTGTAGTGTATCGTCTCTACAGATAGAGACGGGGCTGTTCAGGGGAGTTGAAAGGAAAAGGGTGCAGACTGCCGTTTCTGTGCAGTCGATCCTCAATTGAGGAACGTAGCTTCGCTGAGTGCCCGCAATCAAACTGGTTCCGACGTAGCTTCGTGTAATTCGATATGCTTCAGGTGCATGATGCGAACTCCAACTCAGAAAATGACTTTCGAATGTGATTAAGCACATGTTTCCTGTTCCTGCATGGTGACGTTCGCGTCCCTTTCTGTGTGCCGGGCTCATCTGAACAGATGTCCGTGCTTGCAACAAGAGCCCCAATTTTCGCCACTGTCGGCCCGTCGTCACCGTCTGCTGCATTGCTCCGCTAGCACAGGCGCAGTGACTGCAACAAAAATCTGTACAGCCACACTGAAGCGGTTTGCGATTGGGTGGTGGGAAAGGCAGCTGCACATTTGTAATGCAAGGCACAGGTCTGGCACCTGAGTCATATGATCATGAGATATCATGAGTCACGGTAGAGTAGGCGTTTCTTCACGGCGAGACTGCATAGCACTGTGCCACGAGCTTCCTTGCAGCATCTGTCAGACCTCCTTTCGCAGGCCCTGTGGATTTTCAGCGCCGGTTTTCTCGCAGTGCTGAGTCACACTGAGTATACTGCATGCCGCAATATGCTGGCGATCATTCCTTGGCGCGAGAGTTCCTCATTCCAATCGAAACGACTCGCAGAAAACAGAGACACTGGCAAGAGGCATCCTGCGACCCCCCACCCAAGCCCCAGCTCCTTGACATTCTCTGCACACTCAACCTGGCACCCATGAAGGCTACACCCTAAACCCTAAACTTCCGGTCTCCGGTTTCGGTTTGTTTTTTTCCAGGTGCCTCGAGAGGCGCGCCGGTCGCTGCCTGGGCTTTCGGACTTCTGCTGCTGGCAATCAAGGCCCTGGAGGCCCCGGCCTGATAGACCGCGCAGAGAATATCTATATATACTTATCTGTATATATATCTATATATAATACATGTTTTGTATATGTTTAGGGTTCGGGCGGTTAGGGTCTGGGGTTTAGGGTTTAGGGTTTAGGAGAACCGGGAGCACCGGCTTCAGAGCTCGGTGCATGCAGATAGTCTTTGCAGGTTTCCGGTTTAAATGAGACGAATCGATGTTTCACACATCCTGTACGAAGATCCACATCTGAGAGGGATTCTCGACCCAGTGCATTGTCAGACAGACGGAGCTGTTTAGAATTGATAATTTCGAGTCCGAGGTGCCAGTTCCTGTCCTGGATCCGTGGCTGCGTGGCCTTCCGACCGCCTACGCCAGCCTCCCGGGATTGTTTTCTTTTGCACGATACCGATGCGCTCTTGAGTGCCTTCCCGAAGCAAGGACTGGCATCAGCGGGGCCCTGAGTGGTCTTTGTCCTGAGGGATCCTGGGCACTCGGCTGAAGCTGCAAGGGCTCCGTGCACATGTGAAAATGTTCTGCGAGTCAGGTCCCTGCACCTCCTTAGCCTCAAGCTCATCTCTTTCAACATGGCCTCCCGGCAGAACGGAACTGATCCACCCAGTCTGGACGTGGAAGGCACAGGTTGAGCAGCCGCCTTTCGTGCGCGATCTGCGTATTGCAAATCAAACTATTTGTCTATTCTGCCCGAGCCTTTTGTGTGCTCATCCCCTTGCGATCGAAAAGAATTTGAAAGCTTTCTCTTTCTGTTGGTGCAGCCACGCTGCCGTAATTAATGATGTTTTCTGTTGCTGTTTCGGTGCCGTTGGTGTTACTGCTGGCTGCTGGTGATGTTGTTGTGGTAGTGTTGTTATTGTCCCAGCGTTATTGTTCTTGTTCTTGTTCTTCTTGTTGTTGATGCTGTCTGACAAAATTGCTCGTTGCTCACTCGGTCTTGTTTCTCGGGCTTGAACACCCTGAGAAGGCTACGCTGAATTGTTTGCACTGGTGAACAGTGATCTGTGAGTCTTGAAGTTTTGCAGGGGATACTAAGAAGTAGCAAGGGGAGTGTGAGGAAAGGAATCAATTATATGAGCCGAGCATTGTTGCCGTTTCGCGACTAGTGGCAGCTAGTGCACCGTGCATGACTGTTGCCGGGAATCGCCAAGATGTAAGGGCAGTGTAGAATCGGGTGAGGCTGAGGGTCCGGTACCGGATTCTCTGCATCTCTGCAACTCCATGGCGAGGAAAGGATGTAAAGGCATGCCTCATGCCAGCTCTGTCACGGAAAAAAGCATGCACCTTGGAGCCTTCAAGGATTACTTCTGGGCCCTGCAGGAGACCGGCAGCAGCAGGGGGGGGGAGAGGAAAGTGGTGGCTTGGGGTTTGGTTCTTTTGTTTTTGGAGCCTTCTTTTGCAGGACCGCCAGGAGCTGGAGCCAACTCAGGATCCTGAAGCCCAGAGCCAGGGCCACGTGCTCTCAGAGCTGCAGAAGAGGCCCTTGCCTTCTTTGGACCTAGATTCCAGATGTGTCTGTGTTTTGTTTGTTACAGCTTTTGTTTTAGTCGGTCATCTGAGCATACTGTTTTTCTTTTGCAGGGAGAAGTCCCGGCCCCTGCACGAGTACAGCATCTTCAACCTGATGACTTACTTCCTCTATTCACCCCTTTGGCTGGCTGGGCCAACGACCACCTTCAATTCCTTCATGTCGCATCTTCACGACAGGCCACATGGCTGCGCAGTAAACACACATGCACGCTTTCCATTCCATCCGACTGCCAGGCCGCAACAGGCGATGAGTGCCTGGCAGCTGCTGCTTGCCTGTTCCACGACGGGTTGAAGAGATGTGATGTCAGCTGCAAGACTACGGCGAGGCTGTTGTATGCTCTTCGGCTCGCGCTTTGCCTGGGCCTGCTGGAAGCACTGCCGCCAGTCAGAAAAAAGCAGCACTGCTCCCACCGTAAGGTGGCGATCGGGAAGGGTAGGATGATATAAGACATTTAGGCACTGATCTATCAAGAGTATATGCCTCGCGACATGCTGGAGGCCTCGACTTGTAGGCACTTCTGGGCATTGAAGCTGCAGACTGATTTTCTGGTCAGGTTGTGCTGCACCCCTGTTTGGGCCATCGGCCGCTCCTCCACGTACCTGCAGCTGCATGGGCGTGCTGATCTCCTTGTGCGCCCTGCCACGCTCTGGTCACACTGCAAGGCGTCATGCCTTTTCAGATGTGCCGCGCATGTCTGAGGGCCTATGCCATGCTGCTGCTGATTGTCAGGGGCCCAAAGAGGGGTCAAGTCTCTGAGAGAGAAAAAGAGATGGACACCCAACAGACCGTGTCCACTGCATAGGGACTCTTGACGTTGTCAACCCATTACTTTCGACGTAGCTATAGGGGCGCGGCGATGAGGCCGGGATGCATGTTGGGGGTCCGAGCTTTCGGGGTCGGGGGCTTACAACATGGAATGGGTCCCAGAGCCTGCCACTGAATAAAACAGTGGGTGGTGGGGCGGGCAGAAGGCCTGAGGGTCGGGATTCCGCCCCCTACGCCCTGCAAAACGAAAGAAAGAAAAGATAGAGAGCGAAGCGACGTGACTCAGTGATATTCCTCCCACACAACCCCACTTCCGACGCTTCTTTGCAAAGAAAGGTCATGTGGTTGAAGTCTGGGCCTCGGCTTTTGCTTGGTGGTGGCAAGCTGCGAAGCCGCGCGACGCCCCCTCGGCCCCCTCGCCTCGTTTCTGAAGGTTTCTGTGCATCTGGCGCTTTGCACGTCTCTGGGCCCTTTGTGATGGCATCGACGTCCCGGAGAATATGCGGAGATGTGTCTGAGCCGTGGCTGTGGCTGGAGAGAGAGAGTAAGACACAGAGAGACTTCCTCAGACATCTTCAAGGTGAAGCACTGACAAAGATTGTAAGGGTCCTTGGCTACTCCTTGATGATTCGGTTTTTTGAAACACTCTTGCTCCCTGGCTCGGGGGACTGTCCGAATGCCATGTTCCGCGTCGTCTTACCATGCGCTGCCGGGCAAACTCGGTCATCTTGGAGGTTCAAGTGGACCCCCAGTGGCCGGGCGCCTTGACAATCCCCCCAAGCCCTGACGAAGAAGAGTCATAACATATGTCAACTGCGCGCAGGTCAGATTCGGAACAGTGCTCGCATCCCTCGAAAGCCCCAAAGCATCGGGGGTGGGCGGGGGAAGGGGGGTGGGGTGCAGAACGGCCAGAAAACCTTGCACATCCCCCATGTCCTGGAGAAGAAGAAAGTCATGGACTCGATGATCTGCGCCCCAAGAGAGAGTGAGAGAGAGAGAGAGAGAGGGCGCATTCGTGCGCGGGGAGGGGTGCTGCGCGCCTCTCTTCTGACTGTGATGAAGAAGAGAGAGAGCGAGAGAGAGAGGGAGGAGAAAGAAATGAAAGTCATGTTTTCGGACTCTCGGTCGAGCAACTTGAAGTTTCCAAGAAAGTGCTCGTAGCGGACAGCGGACATACAATTGAAGGCAACAACTACTCCCTCTCGGGCTTTTGGCGTGGATGGTGCGAGAGCTCAGCTGCTTTTCTGGGCTTCGAACACTTTTTTGCTGGACTTTCTTCGCTCTTGCGAGGCATTCCAGCTTCAACCTCTGGCTTGTTCGCTACTTGTACATTCCGCTGGGCGGTCGCAGGCTCCCTCCCGGAACTCACGCCGAGTCGCACGGCATTCCGATTCGCGGTCTTTTTCGCAAAGGGCTGTTAAAGAAAGGTGGCTTTGGGCCAATGTCTGGGTTGTCTTTGGCTTCGTTGCACTCTGGCATGATCTGGAAGCGAAGCTCTTCGCCTGGGGCTTCCTCAACGCGGCCTTCATGGAGCCTTGGCGACTTCAGAAGCCAAGAAAACAAAAAAACAGGCAACCCAAAACAGCGGCGCCTCCAACTTCGAGGCCTCTTTTCTCAGCCATTAAGAGCCTGGGGGAAGTTTTGAGGTCCTCGAGCACTTGGCTTCCGTCGTCTGGCGAAGCAAGGACGCGTGACTGGACCGAGTCGACACAGCGAGAGATTCGTTGTTTCCAGGCAGCTGCCTTGCCAGCAGAGGCTTCGAGGCAGGAGAGCTTCATGAGTTTCTTGTAAGGCAGAGGCTTCAAGAACATGGCTCAGGTGGTTCAGAGCAGCTGCAGGAGAACCTGAAACGTGGTTTGCTCGACGAGTCATGTCTCGTCTCCTGCCTTTTAATCAGAATCAGGAGCACTCTACATCTACGTACTCTTCTTCGTGAATCTCGTGGGCTATGCCTTGGGCATCAGTGGAACTCTTGGGCTTCTGCATCTTGCCTTTGGCGATGCCCCATCCACGGCACCTCGGACAAGCCTTGGAAAGGAAGGACGGTCTTTCTGGGCACGTCGCGTTTCTCAGGCACTCCCTCTGCTGATGTGCACGGGCTTGCTGGCGCTCTCAATGGTGCAGGCCCGCTCTCGAGACACAAGAGCCGCAACGCGAGCTTCCCGAGGATCACCGTCTTTGCTACTGAGCCACCCCACCTTTCCCTGCAGGTGATGCTTGAGCTGCGGGAGTCCGGCTTCAGCAGACTCGGAAAGGTGACGTGATGGCCGAAGCGACGGCACGACATACCAGGACATTGCAGCCGCCTGGTCATAGACACCTTCCCCAGAGCACCCGGTTTCCTCCTGTCAGGACGCAAAGTGCAGCGCTCCTTGGCACTCAAGGCACAAGAAGGGAGGATATGGCGGCTATGGCTGTGACAGCCATGAGCCTCCGGGAGCAACAGGCAACGTGTGAGTCACAGCATGACATCCTTGGAGGTCGGAGAGAAGGGCCGTGTCGAAGCGCGCTGTTTTGAGGGGTCTAAAGCACGAGCGCCATCGTCGCCATCGTCGCCATCATCAACAACAGCAACATGAGCAGCATCGTGCTGATAGGCGGGGGATGCATAGTGCGTTTTTGCCACCAATTGGCTGCTTTTTGCTGCCTTCGAGGCTGCAATCCAAGACGAAATCGAAGATCCCCGAAATGTCATCGGCATTGGCGTCAAGAGTCGCTTCGCCGGGCTCGTGGCCTTACCTTTGGAGGCCATCGCATGCTGGATGAGCCAATCCTTTTGCAAATCTGATTCTGTATTTTAAGAGTGCCATGTTTGTTTCCTCAGCCATCAGGGGTTGGTTGCCCTACATTACTGTTACTTACTGCTTTTGGCTGAAGAAGACGTGACTGATTTTACACATGCTTTAGGACCCTGCAGCAGATTGTTTAGTACATCAGTACATCTACCGAGAGAGTGTAGCACAATATGTGGGACCCAAAAGACAACAATCGGCTGCACTGCCCTCGATCTGCACCAGCTGGTGCGAGTGCAGGATCAGGTACAAGCTTGTCGGTGCAGGAGGGCCCCAAAATCCGCACGCGTATCGTCCCTTATTATAGTTTGCTGCTATTGCTCCCAGAATCCTATTACCCATTGTACTACGCACGTCGGTCGGCTCTTCCTAGTAGGTCCTACCAGAGTTCATGAGCAAGACGTGCCGGACTCGTGATCAACATTGAAGCCCAAGCCTTAATACAGGAAATTTCAAGCTAACATCACTAGCTTGTTGTTGCACTGTTAGGCTTTGCGCCCCGACGGCTGCTGGCCGCGCAAAGCGCTTGGCGCAGAACGTGAGCCTGCAGCCACTGAGTGCAAACTGCTCGGCTCTTAGCCATTAGCGAAGCGGCTGACTGTGTCGGGTTGGCCATTTGTACACAGGCGGCGGTCGGCAGACAGTCGAATAGGATCTAGGAATATCTGACTTTGTTGATGATCCAATCATTGAACTCATGCAGCTACAGGCCGATCAAGCCTTTGTGCTGAGGGCGCGATCACTAGAATGGTAAAAGTGTTGCTGTTGCCCATCGTTGAGGCCGCTGACAAGGGCAGGTGTAGGTGATCTTCCATCTCAGCTGATGTGGTTTGCGTGGACATCTTCGCAGTGTGCTTTACTGCAGTTGACTAGGTTGATGCCTTCGCATTGCCTTGGTGTGCTCCGCTGCATCATCAGCCTCGGCTATGCAGAAGCAATACGTGGTGTGGGTGTGGATGTGGTGGTGCGGGTGCGGGTGCTGGTGCTGGTGCTGGTTGTTTTGGTTGTGGTTGTGGTGGTGGTCGTGGTCGTGGTCGTGGTCGTCGAGTTTGGAAAAGCTGCCCACATGTTTGTTGCGTAAGTTGAGTCAAGCTTCATGGTGTTTCCGCTCAAGTTTCTGCTCAAGTTGGCGGGCATCGGCCTGTAGTTTGACATTCAAGATCGCACCGGCTTTGGAATGTGGTGCCTCGTTGCAGGCTTCCTTGCCTTGGTGTTGACGGGCTTATTCGGGGGGTCAGGTTTCGACTGGGGCCTTGGGAAGCCTGCGGGTGAAAACCCCGATGAAAGGGCATCAAACGCACTGGCTGGGCAGAAGTACATCAACATGCTGAACATGACCTCTGTCGAAGATCAGCTTGAAGTACTTGAGAAAGCAGTGGCGATCCTAGAACGAGCTTTGGAGAAGTCGGAGCAGCCCGGCCTGCAGCTGCATGCCCAAACAAGTTGTCGGAACAAACTTGGCGAAAGTATTCTCGGTTCAGCAGACTTGGATGACTGGGTCCGAAAGCAATGCAATGGATTCGGTCCCAGTTCAACTTGCCACGGGTTGATTACGCAGGACTTGCAGCACTATGGCTTGTTCAAAAACCAACAGATCGCCGGAGCCAGTTTCACGGCAGAGAACATCTATGCAGCAATGCACATCGCATCCCGCCTCGGAGATGACATGATGTTGAAGCGCAGTCGGTACAACAAGTTGGCCAAACTTCTGAAGCAGCAGGGATGGGTTGGCACGATTGGGCATCTTGGACCTATGATGCTTCATGAGCTGAGACAGGCGGAAGCCTTGGTTGCAGATCACAGGATGCAGGTGTTCTCGCTGGACCTTCACTCCATGGGCTGGTCGGAGGAGAGATGCACATGCTTTGAAATGCACATGCCCCAGTGGTTGTGGCGGGCAACACCAGCTTGGGATGGTGTGGGACTATGGTCAGAAGTCATTCCTGGTTTTCGGTCAAGACGTCTAAGACGGAGGTCGAAGGGGGATCCGGTTGTGGCCAAAGCAGCTGATTCCATTGTCGGAGATTTCAGGAGGCCATGAGCGTAGATTTTGCAGACAATTTACCCAACACGAAGCAGCCAGATATCACCGACATTGTCTTAGGGGACATTTTCTTTGCCCACATGAACGCCTCCACAGAGAGCCGTGACGTCTCCAGGCTCGTTCAGGATGACCTTGACATACAAAAATATGTCGGCAAGCACGGAGACTTGTTCCGCCAGCTTCTTGCAGCAGAGCTTACCGTAGGTCGGTACGCTCTTCGCTTTCCGTGGTTAACGCTGCTGTACCTCTACTCATATCCAATTACGTCATCCACCATGGAGCCATTGTGTGACAGTGGTCCGACCGCCGGGTTTTTGCCTCGTCCACCTCCCGCAGAGCCTTATGTTGATCTTGGAATACCTGACACTGCGTCAACTGACACATCAGTTGACGGCATTTTGGTCTTCAGTTGTCATCCTTGTTGGCGCTGCAGCCGGGGCCCACTGGCTCGCCCCAACTGCTGGACCTTTTGGGCGCTCTCTGGCCTATATCCGCTGCTCGAAGCACTAGCCTCCCTTCCACTTGTCGGCGGCATCGTGACGCTTCCATTTTTGGTCTATAATGCGTGGATGTTGCCTTTTGGGCTTCCTGCGTCGCAGAAGAACTGCTTGTTAAGCAGCAATCCATGGGTCTCGCGAGTTGGTGCTCAGCTAGGGGTGCCAGTTCCTTATGTCGGTTCCACATTGGAGTTAAATGTCATAGCCAGCACAGAAAGTTTCTGTCCTGGTGGTTACCTGCCTCTTTCGAGCCCTGCCGGTAGCTGCGGCATGGACACTCTGCAGGAGCTGCCTTGCAGTTGCTCGGCTGCTATGCTGCCAGAAAGGACATGCAGCGGAAGACACCCGTGCGCTTCTTGCCAGCTGGATGCTGGCGCTAACAACGAATGGTTGTCCGTGTACGACCCTTCGCATGACCGAGATTTACACGAGGCGTTGCTTCTTGCTGTTCTTTTGGAGGGCGAGCTTTCTGGTTATGAGTGGAAGAAGCTGTACAAGTCAATGCCCCATGAGGACTTGAACGGCTCTTTCGTGGACCAGCTGGTGAGCATGCGAAATGCAAGCAATGCAAGCCCCACCGACAGCGATGACAGCAACATGTTGCTTGGAGCCAATACTGTTGTAGATAGTCAAAAATTTGGCAGAACGCTGTCAGAGCAGAGTGGGGATGCCAGCAAGTGTGACCCTGATGTTTTGGTTCGGCTGGGTGATGCTGGCCGCGCATACGACAAGCGCTTGGCTGGACTGCTGCTTTTGATGCAGCACAAAGGAAGTTCACTTCGATCAGGCCACCTTGTTCTCCACACAGCTTTCTCAATTGAGACTGATGGGCATCAACCTCCCGAACCATGGTGGCCCACCGATGGCGGAACCGGAGCACTACGGAATCATTCTCCGACTAGCAACTCCTGCAAGTTTCGAGCTCAAGGGATGCAGGAAGTGGCAGTTCTTGGTTCTCGAACTCATGGCTGATGGCTTGTTGTGGACTCTCTCCGTAGAGTTTCCCTCCTATGATTTCAAGACACTGCGACGCATGGACTTCGATGTCTTCCAGCCCGTGCAGCTTGCTGGGTTCTTGGCTGCCCATCACGACATTCCGTATGCTGTCGGAAATTTTGACTGCCGCTTCTTTGCAAGTGCTTTGGGAGACGAGATTGCTGCGCACGCCAAGCGGTGGCTTGAAGTTGTAGAAGTCCGTGTGGTCGGTAGGCCAGGGGCATCGGTCGACAAGCTGTTTCCTCGCAAGGCTGGTGTGGCAATTATGAAGTATGAACATCGCAGCCAGACGGTAGAGAGCTTGATGCTGTCACAATGGTTCTCCGCTTCCCCTCATTTTCTCAACGCCTCTGCGCCCTTTACTTCCATTGAGCTGGCCAAAGTGGTTTTGGCTGGACCTCCAGGAGAAGTTGAGCCCTTTCTTCAGCATCTCTCGCAGGAACAGCCGAAGCCGGAGTTGATGATTGGCAGCCCACGCTCCCTTGGGAACCACCTCTTGGCTGGCGTCACAGCCTACGACGAGGATCTTCCGGAGTTCAGTCCTCCCCTTCTGGCCAGACACTTCTTCATTCTCTTACCATGCTTGATCCTCCTTGCATTAGCATTGGGCTACTTCCTTGGCCATACCCTTTGGAGGCTTGGATGCCGATGCTGGAAAGAGGTGCGATCATTATCTGCGGCTACGCAAGTTGCCATCGGACTAGCCTTTGTAGTAGGCCTGGGGCCATGGCTGGTTCTTCCTTACGGCCTTTGGCGTATGTCATGCTCGGGAAACCCAAGCGAAAAGCAATCTGAGTACACCACGGCCGGCACTGGTGATGATCTTGATGATGAGACGACAAGAGCCGACACTGCCGAAGTAGAGTCGGATCCTGAGGACAAAGGCAGGGGACCCAGCAAGCTCTTCCGCTGCAACGGCAAATTTTGTTTGGCGGCCCCTCAACCCTAAAGCCGAAAACCCTTTCTGAGGTTCAGGATTGCAGAGAGTGTCCGGGCGAAGAATTGTCCACAGCCTCTAGACCTGCCGGAGTGCCCTGGTAGCAAGAAGTGTCTGAACCCTGAGCCCTACGTGGCACTCAAAGTGCCCTAAGCCATAAAGGGCCCCAAACCCTCAAAGGCGGTTCCAAGCCTTCCTGTACTTGAAGATGCCGCTGAGGTTTTGGCGACCACCTGGACGGAGCTCAAAGATTCTTAAAACTAGTGGGCGAGGCGGTAAAACGCTGCCTCAATGTGACAAAGCACCGGCCCATTGGGTTTTTGGCACTTTTCGGAAGGCCCGCCAGGCCTCTTTTCAAAGCCAGAAGAGGAGGAGTCGATCGTTGATTAGCCTTGCAAGACGTGTCACACGTGGGACTGCCTTCTGTAACGTGGGATCAGAATATGCGCGAGCAAAACGTTAGAGGCAGAGATTCATGTGTTTGCAAAAAATGCGCGGCTGGATCGTTGACGCACTGCAAAACATTTGCCAGTGCATGTTCTTGACCCGCTCGATTCCATTCGCACAGGTTAGGATCCTTCTTGCGACAAGTTCGAGCATGCAGCATGCATATTCTCAGCAATTAGTATAACTAGGCAAGACAGCCGTGCGACAACATTAGAGGTTTCTGCAATCCCCCACACACACACACACCTGGCTTCAAATGTTGGTTGCCCTGAGCCTTCATGGGGAGAGCCCGGGCCTCGGCCCAGAGGTTCACCAGCACATGGGTACCCTCAAAACCCAAAGCCTTGAAGAATGTAGGTTTTTGAAGAAAGACTGGGTTTCTGGAAGCAAAACCGGGTTTTGCTTTGGCTGGCATGAAGGCTGTGAACATGTGAAGTCTTGCCCAGAGTGAGCACAAGAGAGCGAGAGACAGAGAGGAGTCAGTCTCACAGATGCACTTCACACCCGAGTGTGAGAAGATCGCTCGCCACAAGAACTGGTGGCTATGTTTACACAGGAACTGCAGAAGATCGCCCACGGTTCAAGAGAGGGATAGAGGGACACAGAGAGTGGGAGGAGAAGTCTAAGCAGTCGCGGAGAGTTGTGGAGTCCATGGCATGTGCCACAGTGAGCTTTGTTTCCTCCAGCAGTTCTGAGTTTTGCTTTGTCTTGTCCGCAACAAGAAATGAGAACCGAGCTTGGCGGGCTGCCATCCCCCATGACTTCCGGCCCCTGACCCGACATTGAGCCGCGGAGGAAGCGGGGGCGCACTGGCTGAGGGGGCCGGCTCGCAGCATGCGTCGAGAAATTGAATGCAGTTGACGTTGATGAGGAAGGCGGATGGATTTCTGCTGAAGTCAGTGGTCATGGACGAGAGGAAGCTGAGGTTGACCAGCCTTACATATGCCTCTGCAACCAAGGCCACGACCCTCAGTCTGTCGAGCTGAACCCGACATGTTGTGGCTGCAGCTCGTCACGCATGACCCACGCAAAGCCTGACTGATGAAGGCGTCAAAAATGGGAGTGTTCGGTAAGAGGGATATATCCTATAGCCTCCCAAAACGCTCTAAAGCCATTTGCACCCAAGTCAAGCACCAGTTCCGTCCCTGGGCCAACTTTGCATTCCTGCCGCTTATTTGTGGATGGTTCGGCCTCCTGGCTTTTGCATGCGCCGTTTGCTGGCGGTTCAAGCCGGATTTTGCTCAAAGCAGAAGGCAAGCAGGTTTGTCTTTTGATGCAAAATGACACACTCGAGCAGCACCACATAGGAATTCACTAAGCAGTCGTGTCGACCTAGTGAGTGAAACAAAATACGAGGCCACGATGCTTACCCACACATCGAGAAGATGTTTCAATCGACTCATGCAGCCGAAAGGCCCAAGAATCGACGTTGACACTTACATGACCTGAGACGGCACGTCGTCGACGCAGTCTGTAGTCTTGCCGCCGCGATGGCATTGGGCCTCAGATTTGCAGCAACGTTTTCAGTCTTGTCAATATTATAACATAATATTAGAATGCCTACTAGTATCAATCTCAATATATATTAGAGCTGTTACAAGGCGGGGGAAGAAGCTGCTCCGGTGCCCGTCGAGTACCGGGTGATGCAGGCTGCAGCCTTCGGTATGTCAGAGAAGCAGCTAAGTAGGTCACGGTTTTCAGAGAGATAAACTCGGTCCAAAACCCAACGGATCCTGTGAGTTCCGACCAGAAAGAAGAGCAGGCGAGGTCGAGGTACATACCCACGATCTGCAGCCAGGGGCCGCTCTTCAAGAAGCCGAGCAAAGACCCGAACTCTTCCAAGGCCCGGGCTATCGAATGGATTGCTTTTTGGGCAGAATCGGATCTGTGGGTGTAGGGTTTAGGGTTTAGCAGACTAGCATCTGTGGGGCCTCTTGGAGGTCATCAAGCTGAATCGGAAAGTCGGGAGCAAGGCGCATTGTGCATGCAAGCACATACGGTCGCAAGTACTAGTTCGTTGGTGCCGCCTGTCCTCATGTCTGCATATTGGTACTGGTGCGAGGTGCAGAGCACCGGCCAAACGTGGCAGGGTCCTGCAGGTGGCCTCTGGCTCGAGCAGGGGCCCCGGGTGTCCTTCTTGCGTCCCTGCGCTTCTTTTTTTGAATGTGTGTCTGTGCGCGTGCGTGTATGTGTGTTGTTGTTGGAGCTGATGCAGAACGACAGACCAGTGATGTAGGTGACATACAGCACGCAGAGAGACATAGAACAGGGTCATGAGTGGGTGACCTAACTTGCGCCGCATGAGCACCATCTGCTGATTGCCGTGAGCCCTGATCTTTGAGATGGGGTTCGACGATGGTCGAAATGCGGCTCCCGCCAATGCAGGCGTTAGACAGAGGGAAAGACGGTAACATAAGAAGGGAGGGAAGGAGGGAGCTTCCATAGACAGGTGAGCTTCCATAGACAGGTGCAGATACCTGCGGCGAACATATCAGACACCTCTGCACCAGAAATGAGCGGATGTGTCAGTGTGCACACTGTGGCTGTTGTTTTTTTGTCAATCTCTTCAGCTCCCAGGTTGGATGGAGACAAGCCGGGATGGCTGCTGGTCGGCTGAGCTTCGCTGAGTTCTCTCTGAGATCTCTCATGCTTTCTCGGGGTTCTCAGGTGGAAGGCCCGGGTTTCGGCCAGCCAGGCCGGAGATGAGACTACGGAGTAGATGTTCGTAGATCATAGTATTGTAGTCTTCATCTGGCGCAGGGCCACTGCTGGAGGAGGTGCGACCAGGCGACGAGGCGGAGCGGGGCAATGTCAAGAACTGTCTGGTTCTTAGTAGGGAATGGGGGAAAGGCTTGTAAGGACCACCATAAGGGACCTTAAGAAAACATCATAGGGATCCCTTCCCCCATTCCCTACTACACGAACCAGACAGAGAAGGCACTTCTGGCATGGTCGCTGATGCCTGAAGCGGAAGGAGCCAGTGGTGCTCTATGCCCTCTCACCGATCGACGACAGCAAGTTGTGCGACATCTGCCAGGAGCCGAGGATGCTGAGGTCGGTTTAGGGGGGGTTGATCCATAAACCCTTTTGGGGGTCTGTATCATAGTATGTTCCTTCTTTAGTTTAGCGGACCAAAAAGGGCCCAAATAGGTTTAACCAACCGCCCATGTGTTCGGATCGGCGGCGTATTGCAACTGATTGAGGCCTCAAGCCTTCACAGACAGTGAAGCACGCCAAACATTGGCTGGCACTCCGCCTGCCAGGCTTGAAGGTGCATTCTGCAGTGCGGTGCTCTCATTATAGGGCTGAAGATAATCACTGCTCAGAGGTAGAGAGCATCATCGTGGCCAAAGAGAAGCCCAGCGAGAAGACTCATGGCCAAGGCTTGCGGAATTTCCCCGCCAACTGGATCCTTGAAGACGAGGCAGAGAGGGCTTGCGGCTTTTTAGCTGCAAAGCCGCGTTGCAGTCTTATCTCTCCTTCTCACGGTCCTTCTTTCTCTCCCTGGGAAATGGACAGCACGTTGAGTCTGGGTCAGGTCCGAATACGAGATACCCCCTTCAAGGCGCTCGGTTTGGATCCGCCTGTGACAGCTTGGGAAAGCCGACGTCAAAAGGACGGCGACGAGTTCGTCTTCTTCTACATGGGCGATGCCGCCCAGGCAGCCATGCTGTGCTCTGCCCATCTTTCCCAAGCAGATCTTGAAGTCCAGGATGTGGCCGATCTACAAAGTCGCGCGGCGTCTCAAGGGTAATCCAGCCCTTGCCGTGCAGATTGCCCTTTCGGAGGAAAGCAGCGTCTGCAGAAATCGGGAAGCTCGCGACAGCCTGTCTTGGCTCCATGGTCCTGGTAAGTGCAGCTGGAAGGAGCTGTCTGAAGAAGTCATCGTCTGTCGCGTGATGCTGGCTCGCAGTCCCCCCTGTTCTGTCCCTGCTTAGACTGTCCCCAACCTGCAGTCATGACCCGTCGCAGCCTGAGTCCTGAGATTTCAGTGTATTCAGACCTTACGCCGTGCTCCGGAGACCGCGAGGCATGCGCTGCCTCCCTTTGCCCAGAGCTCAGCCGGTTGCAGACGTAAAATCCTAGGCAAGGGTCCTACTCAACCCGCGAAGCTCCGACTGAACCCTAGAAGCTCATCCCTCTTAGGGTGGATGTACCCAAATAGTATAGGTAGTCCCTCTATAGGCACTTGGGGGGCCAAAGTATATGCTATTTGGGTACATGGACTCTTGGGGATCACCAAGCCAAAGAATCCCCCCAAGCTTGCAGGAGAGGATGACCAGCGACGCTGGAGCTCTGGGCCCAGAGAAAGCCACTAACAATAAATAATTACTTTACTGCTATTATAATGCCATGATACTACTATTATACTACTATTTTAATATCATAGTAAAACCATTAGAATGCCATTATAATGCTGTGATAATACGTACCATGATACGATTACTATGATAACTACTATGACTAATACTATCGTCATACTACGAGGGACGAAGGCCGAACCAGCTCACTCCGTTTCTTTGCGGCGGATGAGGCTCCCTTCGACCGCTCCTTCCGAGAAGCCCTCATCGATGTGGCCTCTCGGTCTGCAGTCGACACCATAGTCACCATAGGCCTTCAGGGCCCAACGAGCCTTGGGGATATATATCTCTCTCTCTCTCTCTCTCTCTCTCTTTGTATATATGTCTATGGATGTATATTATATATATATATATGCTCACCCCCCCTCCATGACACGCGCGGATCGTGCTTGTCATGGAGGGGATGGGACTTGAAACTCTAAAATTCCAGAATCTTTAGGGCTGACAAGTCCNNTCCAAAATCCTGGGGCCTAACAATTCCAAAATTCCAAATTTCCAAATTTTTGGGGCCTAACAATTCCAAAATTCCAAATTGCCAAATTTCCAAAATTCCATATTTCCAAAATTCCAAATTTCCAAAATTCAAAATTCTGAAATTCCAAAATTCCGAATTTCCAAAATTCCATTTTTCCAAATTTCCAAAATTCCAAATTTCTGGGGCCTAATAATTCCAAAATTCCAAAATTTTACAAAAAAGTTGAATTTTGGCGCTAGTTGCGTTTGGGGTGCGTGGGAATGTCTCCGCTGCGTTTGGGGTGCGTGGGAATTTCGGGTGTGTTTCGTGCAGCCTTGCTTCTTGGAAGTTTACTGTTCGGCTAGAACTTTTAGAACTTTT